CATCTTAGTAAAACCAATACCTTCTCAGCTTCGCATCGAAGCTAAAATTATATTAATTGGGTAATTTTTATAAAAGTTATGGCAGTTTTAAGTAAAAAAAAAAATTTTAAAATGTAAAAAATTAGCGATTTTTTTATAATATAATATTATTATTATTAAAATATATATCATTGAGTATTAATTAATAATAGTTTAATAATGTTAGTACAATCAGTTCTATTTGAAATATAATATAAAGTTAATATTATGTAATGATTATTTATAACTAGAGTTTTTGAGGTATTATAATTGTTAGGTATAGCTAATAACGGCTTAAATACATTAGTATTATTTTCTGTAATTATGGTCAAAATAAAACATGGTTAAACATTATCCTGATCATTTTTAAATATTCATATATTCAAAATAACTCAAAAAGCAATATTTTAAAACTGGTTATAGAATTTTAAAGGATTTTAGACCATTATATATATAATTATATAAAAATAAATTAAGGTTATTGCTTAACTATTGAAAGTTACTCCCAAAAAAGTAATTTTTTTTATAAAAAAAAAATCTTGTCATGATTTATTAAAATATTATTCACTACATTTTTACAAAAAATAATATTTTTGACGTTAAAATAGGAATTAATATTATTTAACAGTGTATAGTATGCCATTTAAATTTCAAAGCTTCCTCTAAATCTATTCGACTAATACAAAATAGAAATAAAAATTTTATAATTGGGAGTTGGTATAATGGTAAAAAGTATAGTTTGTAATTTTACAATGATCAAAATCACTATCATTAAACATTATTGATATAAATGTTCTTTGTACTTATAAAAACTTATAAGCGCGCATATTTATTTATAAAATATACCCTTAAAAATGAACGAAACAATAGCTAAAGTAACTTTACCACCACCACTAGTAGCGCGCGGTCTGTTTCTAATAAACGGTATATGTTCTACCCCTGGGAAACAGTTGTGTAGCCGACACAGTGCTCGTTGGATGCTTTGAGTGCGTTGTACGTGATTTCTTTTGTTTGATTAATGTTTCGAAACTATATTATTACTGAGAACACCTGTAGATTTTATTGAAAATTATTTAATCCACTAATAGGTAATATTTTAGTCATATAAAATTTTATAAACTCGTATATTGATAAAACAAAAAATACGTATGTTACAGGTAATGTTTATTATAGTCAATCATAAAGTTCACTGTGATTCGGTGAAAGTTGAAATTGAACTCTACTTTGAGGCCCCGCTTAAGGGGCAAACTTTCAAGGCACACGCCTAAGACCTTTTAACAGTAATTCAGGGCGGTATTTCAAATTTTATCTCTATATATAACATGCGGCAAAACTGAAGTTTATCTAGATGTATTTAAACGCTTGAGCCGGGTATGTTTGCACTGTAGTTTTTTTTAACATAGTTTATTTATTTGTATATTAATATTGTTTACATAATATTATTTGCTTTGAAATTCTATGTCAACATTTAGTATAATAAGTGGTAAATCATAAATTTAATTTTTAATTATTTACAATCACAACTATGGATTAAATCACTGCAATAATGAAATTAAATAAATAACTATACGAACAATTGTCGATTTTGCTTATTTTTATGAATCATAATAAATTTGTACATCAACAGTAAACTATCAGAAGTAAACATGAGTTGAGACTATTAAAAAAAAAAATTGGCTTGTGATAGTTTACTGTTGATGTACAGAAATGTTACGTTTATTGTAAGAAAAAATTAATTTTATATGTAGTTTTAAGATGTAACTCGAAAGTAATTGAAAATCTATAATTTTTTTATACCGTAAGATGGAAAATAAACTAAATAAAATGTTAAAATTTTATTTATTGTTGGTCCATTAATAACAAAAATAATTATAAATTTTCACTTAACTTCGAGTTACCCATAAAAATTAATTTTTCATTGCAATAAATTTGATATTTACTATGGTTCATAAAAATACATCAAATTTTAATTGGTACATTTTCNTATTTACTATGGTTCATAAAAATAAATCAAATTTTAATTGGTACATTTTCATTCATTCATAGATAAAAATAAAAAAAATGTTTGTCGTCGTTGATTTATGAATTATTTTTTGAAAATTAAATTAATGTGTCTCACAAAAGTCCTAAGATGGAGTCAAAATTTCATGATTGTATAAATAATTCAATAAACTTAGTAATGACAGACAGAAGTGTGTTATTTTATTTTAATATTCAGTGCATCTGCCAGATGCAACTAATATAACTATTAACTTGACCATGGTTAATTGTACATATATATACAGAAAAATAAAATTGTTAAGTTTATGTCTGTTACTAATAAATATGTCTGGAAATGGATTATTATAATTAATACTTAAAAAGTTCTTTTATTTGGGAAATGATGATCCCGAACGTAAATGATTTTTTTATTTTCCGTTTTAATCTGTGCATATTGACTATAAGTATTCTGTTTGACTATCGTAGAACTAATGGTGTTGAAACATCAGTTGTTTAAAGCATTCAGTTCTAAAAATTCTTTAGAAATTAAGCTAAACATCCATAGCCAACTTGTACAAACCAAAAAATAAAGGGCTAAACTCTATCTGATGAGTGATAAATCTACCATTTCATAATAAACTGATTTTTCATTATAAATCATTTAAAAAAATTTCTAGATGCATTTGTTTGACAAAGGAAAAGACCTATCTAACTTAACTTTCTAGTGGTATACATATAATTAACTTAGGCCAAGAGATTAATGAAATATATTGATTTGTAGTCGGAAGACTTTTGAATTACTCTCTATTATATATTATATATATTACTGAATATACTATTGAGTAATTTAGTATAAAAATGACTTCTTTATTTTTGGAGATATGTGATTTAGAATACATATAATTTTATCATTTCTTTTAATGACATATTAGCTTCGATGCGATTTTTAAATTGCTTCTCCTGAAAAAATATCTAAAAATAGGCTTATTTGATAATTGTACTTCAATAGATGATTGGGAAACTAACTGATCTTTGAAAATGCTGAACATTTTTTTTTAGATAGTTTTCAATAAGGCTATAAATAGTCTTACAAAACTTGACTTAATATTATATTGTTTATTTATGTTAATTATACATTAAATATATTCATTTACATAGAAATCGTACCATATTTTTTTAACAGGTAATTGGAAATATTGTAGCTATTCACAAAACATTTTAGTGTATCAATATCTTTTACTAAGTATCATTGACGTAAAATTCTAATCTGTTTCAATAGTTTTGTGACAACCGATATTGATCTTTGGAAAATTATAAAAACAGCAACACTTATAAAACAATATTTTTTTTATGTATATGCTGCTGCAAACTTTGTATTCTCAAAAATTATATTATATCTTATGTAACATAATTTAAGTGAAACAGAATAATTAATACTCATTTCATGTAGAAAAATTTTTCTTTGGTAAAAATAGAAAGGCAAAAGAGCAGAGAAAAAATAGATAATAAAAGAAGGGGTAAGTTGAGGTGAAATAAATCAGAATACTGCTACACGTTATAGTTAATAGAGGTTAAATTAAATTAATATCTTCTGAAAAATTATTGTTTATCTAATCTCTGTTGCTATCCCTTTGATAAGGTTTAAAATTTTAGATTCTTAACAAATTAAAAAATTGTGAAACGTGGCAATTCATATAACTTTTTTTGAAATTTAAAAATTATATGGATCAAAGTGAAATATAAGTGATAGTACCAAAGACAAATATCTTCTAGTTTCAATACGAAGCTAAAATATTTAACCATGATGTTAGTATTATGATTATTAATTTTGTCTGTTTCCACTTTTTCTCAACTCCTACTAAATAATTTTGTTCAACAATACATCAATTATCTAAAATTTTATCTAGTTGAACTTATCATCGACATAATTTAACAAAACTTTTTTTGATCCCTACAAACGAAGGATACGTTCATTTGTTTAAATTAAATTGTCCTATATTAAGATCAAACGATACAACTTCCAATAAGATTTAGGAGATAATTATCCCATTTAACATCCCTTTAACAAAAATATATTTAAATATTAAGTATAAATATTTTCATACAAAATTTTTGTAATTTTTAATATTAATCCAATATGTATATTAAAAGGAAGAGGTCTGCCCTTTCCAAAAAAAAATATTCTACCTAATAATGGCTTATGATAAATTGAGATGACAAAATACAGGTGATTTTTTTAATAGTTACTCTTATTCACCCCATTTCTTTTAAAATGATAATATTAAGAAAACCATTTGTGGTGTTTTTCATCATCATATATTTCTTCATTTATTAAATATAATTATTATATTTATCAATTCATTTATTATACTATACACAGATGTTAACTTAATCCGATATTTCGGAGAGGTAAGTGGAATACCGGTCATTTGCCTTAAAAAAAAATTATATACATTTATATGTATAAGATTATGTTTTAAAAATATGAGACTTTGACAAAATGCAGTCAATATGTTTATGTATCTATTTGTTGTAATAGCATAACATTTAGTCTTAGAACCAGAGATATAACAATTTTCGCTAAGGTGACCGTAGTTCTCTCAGTCTTCCCTGTGCGTCCAGAGAGAGTTGAAAATTCAATCATAAGTTTTTCACCTAATGTGCTATAACTACAACATTTTTATTTATACGTAAAAATGAATATGAAGGAACTTATAGATAAAACTGTTTTACGTAAAAAAATTATTACAAAAAAAAAATAAGTCAAATATCTACCCCCCTCCCCACCAAAATAAATTATTTTTACCAGTAAATTTAATATATTTTAACAATTTATATATACGATAAACCGTTCTAGTTATAAAAAAATGTTCATATATATTTATATATTTATATATGTATATACATATACATATATTTAAAATTTAATATTTAATAAGCTTTGTAAAAGAAAAAAATGTTTATGTGTTTGCTAACGATGAAACAATGTAAAAATTCATAAATTGTAAGCATCTTCCTATACTAATTGAAAAAAATGTTTATGCATTTTTTAGTACATTTAAAAACTTTTATATAATTCCATTTATAAAAAAAAATTATTTTATAAAAGTTTATTGAGAATGATATAAGATTAAAACATATTAAAAATAATTTTTTTTATATAATTACTATTTAAAAGTAATCGAGTGGCTAATATTTCTACAATATCTACAATAATTCTATAACTTTTTATGATTTTTCCGTAATAATTACAATACTAAATGTTCCTTTGGAATAATTCAATAATTTCTTGTAAAAATGAATCACAGTTTATAGATTCACTTTTATGATTATGTTTTTAATTGCTGTATTGAGAAAAATATTTTTTTTGTGAAAAATAACTCTATTAAGTGTACTTAATTATTGTAATTTACTATCATAAAAATCATTATTATAAATAATAGATCTTATCTATTCATAAAATCATGATATCAAGAGAATAATAATGGATTAAAATATCAAGACTATTTAAAAATAAAATTTTCGAAATAGGATAAGTTTTTATATATTTATGGACTTTCTGGCGGCAACTAAAGACAGACGCTAGATGTTGATTAACTCTACACTGCAGTATTCAGACATATAATGACAGTCGGCGCCACTCTCTGTAACCCGCGATATCCTGTTGCAATAAGGCGTTAGCTGCTCGAATTGGGTGCTAATACAATTGCTTTTAATGAGTTTTTGGTGAATACTATCTCGTTCAAAACGTATGGATTAAATTTTTTTAATAAGCATACCACATTGCGATCAATATTATTTGTTAGAATAGGAAAACAAAACAATAAGTTTTTATGAAATTATTTTAATAATTTTAAATAATAAACATTTAATAAATATAAAAGGACAATCAAAATTGTATATTAAAAATTTATTTCTTAGGCAAAATTAATTAAAGGTTATTAAATATCATAATAATATTTAAAACATTTGATTGGGTGTGTCGTAAACGGCAATTTTTTTATATGTGTTAAGTACCTTTTAATTTATTAAGATGTTATAATTAGATATTTTATAGTGTTTTGTTTATTTTAAAATCTCAAAAATTACTAACAACTTTGTATTACTGACATTAATTTGTAATTACTTCTTTATTTTATAATATTAAAAGAGTCGTGCTCACTGTATAAGTGATCTGTACTCATCAGTGAATGTTACATTGTATTATTTACTTTAATTCTTCCTGTTGATACTTATCCAAATGGCTGCAAACGGGCGTAGAATACCCAAGACAACACAGGAGTAAGAGTGTCATTCGAAGCAATTTCAACATTTTTGAATGTTATTTTACAAAATAAATATTTTATAATAATATTTATAAAAATAAACTATAGATTAAGTCTGAAGGAGCT